TATATAGAACTATTTTAAGGCAATTTTTTTCATGCACCTAAGGTCCACATAATTTTAAGGATTGTTTATCGCATTAAAATAGCGGGTCTTTACAAAAACAATTCCAATATATTTTAAATGTGGACTTTAGTACATCACTCTTGTTTTAAATAAATGAAATTTGTAGTGAATAGGACTTAAACATAAGTCATTTTTCAATGTAAGATTTAATTTTTCTCCCCTAAATAGGACTTAATAATGTCTGAGTGATGCTGGACATTTAGTTGAATAATGACTAATAGATAATAATCAATGATCCTACATTAGGAAATAAAAACATATAGTACTATATTGAGAAAGATATTACTCCCTCCGTCCCACTATATTTGTCCACTTTCATTTTTGCACACCATCCAATGCACTTCTTTAATCCATTTTATCTTGTAATTTGTATATTAAAAAATTATAGAAATTATATATTAATAATCTATATGTTAAGACAAATCAAACAAGATCACACATGACTATATTTAGGCTTACACATTGAGAGAATTTGATGAGTCAAAGTACTTAAATGAACAGTTCCAAAAGTCAAAACTGGACGAATATAGCGGGACGGAGGTAGTATGTTTTAATGTTAACGATTAAATAAATCATAAAAGAAAAATAAAATTTCAGGAAGACGCCCGAAGGCGCACATTAGCATCATTGGTTGTCCAAAGCCGAACGTTAAAACCGCCCCCTGTGTTTCTCCTATAAAAACTTCGTTCCCGGCGATTTCACAAGTCTCACAAATCCAATTAGGAGAAAATTTTTAAAAACAAAAAAAAGCGAAGAAAAATCAGGAAACCCTTAATTTTCTCTGTTCTTCCCTCCGCGATAGAGAGATAGAGAAAGAGCTTATAGCCAGAGATAGAGAGAGAGATAGATACTTTGTGGCCGCGTTGATGGCGATGGGCCCGGAAAGATCAAGGCCGCTGCACAATTTCACGCTTCCATGTGAATTGAAGTGGGGGAGCCGGAAGTTCTTGAGATGCGTCAAGCTTGATTCAAACGGAAAAATCGCCGCCGTACACCGGCGGTCTAATGGGTTGTCGGCGCCCCATCCCTTGTTGGGCCGGGTTGCTCCGTCCGCCGCGAGGTCAAACGAAAGGCTGAAGAGGGAGGCGGCCGGGAGTAGCCGGAAATTCGAGTCCTGCGCCGACGGCGGGATCGCCTCTGTGAGGGAGAAGTTAATGTTCGATCTCCAGACGGCAGCGGATCAGATAAAAGACGCGATTTTGCGGGAGGGGTTGAAAGAAGAGCTTCACCATCGGCCGGCCGTGGAGGGAGGAGGGGAACAAAAATTGTCTCCGCCTGAATCCGCCGCCGCTGACCCGAATAAGCCCCGGAGCTTGAGGACTCGCCGGACAACCGCCGGATCGACCCGGAACTTAAACGCTTCCCCACCGAGAGGCGAACCCGTATCTCCAATAGTGTTGAACGGGCAACCCGCAGTCGGGCAGAAGAGAGGGAAGCTCTCTGTTCCCCTCTCCCGTCAAGAGATCGAAGAGGATTTCATGGCTATAGTTGGTCACAGACCCGCTCGCCGCCCCAAGAAACGATCCAAATTGGTCCAGAAGAATTTGGATGTAAGTCCATTCTTTACTTGTCGTCACTACCCAGATTGAATCTTGAAACAAATTTTTGAAATTTTACAGTTTGATCTTTTTTCTTTACAGACCCTCTTCCCCGGATTATGGCTGTCGGAAATCACACCTGATTTATACAAAGTTCCTGATGATCAATAGAACACATATATGGACAGGTAAAGAATGGTTCTTGATTTCTTAAATGTTTGTTTCTCTGGCATTGCAAACTGCTGGTGATTTCTGAGGTTTCTCGTTTGATTGATTTCTTAAAGGATATAAGGTAATGCTAGTTTTTCTTTGATTTCATTAGTTCTTCCTTATTCTTTCCCTTTCTTTCTGTGATCATGGAAATAAACTAATGTAATCCGAAAGTCTGGCGAATGCTGTTTATCTTAATGATAATGACAATTGTTCATAGTATAAATTTTCTTGCTGAGTTTTCGATTTACCCCAGCTTCTCCTGGTTGTTCTTTTCTAGATCAAATGTTTATGGTTCTTACAACAATATGTTATTTACGAGTATGAGATTTAGTCTCTTCTTCTTCTTCTTCACTCTAATCCCAACTAGTTGGAGCTGGAGTCATGACAGGAAATTTGTAGTGTTAATAAAAGCATTTGCTAATTATGTAATTACATGTTACTAGGAGTGGTTGTTTTGGATGCATTTCTTGAAATGCTGTAAAACAAAACAAAAAATTGTTGTTTCCTGAGCCTCTGTGTCAAACTGCTCTTTCTCCCCCCCATTTTATATACTCTGTTTATGAAATAACAAACTCGTGCTGTAACTTAAGTGATCAATAGAAGTGTAAAAAGTTGTGACCGGATTCGACTCCTGATAACCATAGTGTGCGACGTAAAAACTAAAAACCATTCAGGTTGAAGTTTAGTTGAAATGTTGTTTCTAGTCTACTATCCGGGCCGGGAGACTCTTGGAATTGGGATTCTTTTTTTTGGTTCCGAATTCAAAACTTCCAATAGTTATTTTACACTTGAGGTTGGGTTTCTGTTTCATCTCTCCTATTTAATTTTGTCATAGAAGGCATTTCCAAGTAACTAGTTGTTGTTCAAAAGTATTGTTCAACTCGAAATGTTCATTTACTATATACCTTAATTAACATTTTGACCATTCATATATGTGGTTTCTGGTCAAATTGTCAAAACAACATAATACCAAGTAATATGTTGTTTGCCAAACACCTCCCCTTGTAGTTTTGTAAAACTTTTGTTTTTGTTGATGGCGTAAAAACAACACCTTACGAGTGAACTAAGTTTTTGAACAAAACTAAAACACAAAAAGAAATGAAACAGACAATAATGAATTTTTTTTATCCAAAAATTAGAATTTTCTTACATATTTGTTTAGATGATCATTTAATTGAGTGATTTTTTAAAATTTAATTTCTTCCAACATATTCTAACTCTTTCCAATTTTTTCTAATTTATTCCAATTTCTTCTAAGATCAATTTTGAAATTCAAACATAACCTGTACGGTCTTGTGTGAAAAAAAGGTGGGGGTGAGGGGAGGCATGTGTTAAAAGTTGGGAGAGACTTCTTTTTAGTGTCGTGTTTGACTATTGAATGATCTTTTTATATACTCGTTCCGTCTCCAATTTGATTACAAATTAGGGTTACGAGGGGAAATATCATACTTTGAAATTATTTTATTTACGAATTGATATATCGATAATAAACAAAAATTACATATTAAAAAACTACGTCAATAAATTTACAAAACAAGTGGTGACAAGAATATTTTATTTGATAAAATACTTAATGAAATTGCGTAAACAAACAAAAGTTATTGAGAAGAAAAAAAATTATAATCAATTTAGGAACAGGGGAGTATAAAAAAAAGTCCTAAGGGCACATCAAAAAATGTACCCTAAATATACCTCAAAGCATCTCTACCACATAATTTAAATATTGATAAAAAAATTAATTTGTGTTTCTCTGTGTTTATAAATTGGTAAAATTGTTTATAAACAACTTTTAACTTTTAAGTCAATAGATGACGTGGTTCTGTGTGCTTATAAACTGACTTATAAGCTATTTATAAGTCAGAAAAATAAGTAGGTCTTACCTACTTATTTTTAAAATAGTTTTTTATCTTTTTTGACCAGATTACTTACAAATTTTCTCTTGTCCATTATGATTATTCCAAAACGACATACTCCCTTTGTCTCATTTTAAATTGCATATTTTCCCTTTTTGTCCGTCCTAAAATAAGTTGCAAGTAAACTTTTAAGGGTAAAATACATAAACTACCATAAAATAAACTACTTATCTCCGTCTTATTTTCTCATTCATCGTCACCCTCCTACAAAAGTAAGGGCATTTTTAGAAAGTCCTCACCATTTTTTCTCTTCTTTAAATATGCCCAATTCAAAACGGGCAATATAAAATGGGAATGATGGAGTATATATCATTTAAATCATTTTATCTACACCAATTTTTTTAAAACTTATAAACAGCTTATAAATTAAAAATTTCTTATAAGCAATAAGTAATTAAGCACAAGTACCGGGAACACTTACTTAATAAATAAATATAGAAGGAATGATTGACAATGATGATGTACAAATAGGGTACACCATATTTCATGTATTCCTAACTTTACTGAAAAGAAATTTATGAATCCCATTCGTATAGTCTTAGAATTTTTTTCAAACTTGTAGGTTGGTGTTGCAAAAATTGTCAAGACAAGATGTGAAAGAAGTAACATTTAAGTTCATATCTTGGCAACTTTGATGACTATGCAATTATGAAGTGACCGTCTAGCCACTTTGAAAGACCCTTGTGGATGAGGTTCATTCATTTTTTGAAATGAAATCCATGAGCAAACTTGGGATGAGTCCCTTCTTCTAGTAGCCTTCCACTTGATTTGAAAAATTATTTTGAGAAATTATTCATATTTTAGATAATAAAGAGCATCAAAATACTTATGTGTAATTATCTTTTAATAGACATTTTGATAAATGACTATTTAGAAAACATATCTCAACTATAAAGGATCACGTAAGAAATTTTTGCTTATTGTTGAATATTTTGGAAAAAAACCTTGTAAAAAAGGACCATCTTGAGAATTTATTCAAAATATTTTATCAATTTTGGTGAAAAGGACACTTTGTGGAATAATTTTCAAAAATTGAGGAATGCTTATGGAATATGTTATAATTGAAGGCTAAATATGAAAAAATTACAAATTATCTGGGACCATTTATATAATTATTTTAAAAATTATTATCTTGTTTTTAACTTGGACTCTTTTTTTAACATGCAAAGATGTATTCATTTTACTCAATGTGTGATACGTTGTGAAAAATATGGAGTAGTAAAGATGTATTCATTTTATTATATATACTTATAATCTATTTTTTCTCATAGAAGTATGTATGTATGTATGTGTGTTTATAATCATTTGAAATAGTTATGTTCTTTATTATTGTTATTTTATTATAATTATACTAATAATAAATATTTTAATTTATTCGGTCCGGGCCGGCCCGTGGGATTGAGCATAAAGTCCGAGCCTGACTCTAAAATATTCGGGTCCCCCTTTATAAGGCCCAAACCCGGCTCGTATCCTAAAATGTCAAGTTCAAGTCCGCTATTTTACGGACGGGCTTTTGTGGACGGGCCGAATACCCGGGGTCGTGATTGGTTTTAACTAGAATCAATAGTCTAGAAGTTTAGTTTCCTAAAAAAATAGTCCAGAAGCTTGGGTATAATCACTATACTACCTTTGTCTTTGAATATTTGTCTATTTTTAATTTTTCTCAATCAACCGTTTTAAACATTTGAACAATAATTCATATATATATATATATATGTATGTATGTATGTATATATATATATATATATATTATAATTAGATAAAATAGTATTTTCAAAATATTTTATATAATAAGTCTAGTAAAACTATTTTGACGTCCATATCTAATATTGTTTTATTTAAATTGAAGTCAAATTTTATCAATTTTCACTGAAAAATAAAAAATGGACAAATACACAGTACGGAGGGAGTATATTTTAAAAAATCAGTAGAGTCTAGAAGTTTGGGTGTAATCGCTGTATGTTTTAAAAAATCAATAAGAATTTAGCTATACTCGAGAATATTTTAGTTTTTCTATTAAATGGATTTTTACAATGAACAAACTACTTATGAAACGGCTTAAAGAATGCAACAACTTAATTAACTCGGAGGTGGTGTTGCAAATGGAAGAGAAAGAGATGACATGAGGATATTCTTTATTTATATACTCTATTCTGAGTGATATACACAAGTCTTTAAGTATGATAATACAACATGAATCCTAGTTTGAATGTAATTACAGAGAAAGGAAGAGAAGAAGATCAATCTAGTCCAGCTCTCGCTATGACAAAGTCAAACGAAAACAACATATTAAGTTTGTCTCTTCTTTAATTTTTGATGCCCCTCTTAGCAGAAGACATAGTGTTTATAGGTCAGATTCCCCGATAATGTGGGCGATGTGGTTGTTCTCCATTTAGTTATACACTAAAGAATGTTCTTTGATGGGGACTTGAATTTGACAAAAGACACTCTTCATTACATATGTCTTGCATGATATATGACTTTGAAGTGAACGGTTACTATTTGTCCCGTGAGACCAATCTCAATGATCATCCAAATCGGCATCGATGCAAGTAAACTGGCTTCAATTTGTTTATTGCTATGTGTGGCTTGAGCATCGAGGTTCTCAGGTCGTGGGGCCAACCATTGATCTTGGTGGTCCCAAAGTGGTGAAATACAAAGTCTAGAGGGGG